ATGCTAACAAGGCTGACAGGCTACATGGGTTGCTTAGTGAAGGAGGTCTCCGAGATCCGGTTAGGTCCCGGTAACTTCAGCTGGGATACGGGATTTCCTTTAAGCCGGGAACCTTACCCGACCATGTAAGTCGTTAAACATAAGCAAGAAGAGTCAACAAAGAAACAAACATGGCGCATCATCTGTAAGTAACGTGGGTTGTGTTTACTGACCCTGCCCATAATTCCTCATCTGTTCCGCTCTGGGACAGTACTGCGACCGTTTTTACTCAATTTCCTAAACATTCACTTCCCAACGCTTTACCCTGTCTCAAAAAATACCTCTCTGGGAGGACGAGCTTGAAGTGCCTAGGGACCTTAAAAGCAGGAAAACTTTTCTGCCCCCTCCCCTTTAAATGCAGTGCCTCTCACTATTACCCCCTCCACTTTCCCACTTTCTCATCTCCCCTCCTCCTCAGTTACACTCTCTCTCTCTCTCTCTCTCTCTTCTTCCGTCTACTGTTCCCTCATGGGTACACGCTGGGCCAGCCGAGAGTACAGTCTGTGGATGTAAGTACAAAATTCAGCAGAGACACTCATCACAACAATCCCTGATGATGGAGACGAAGACAGTCTCCGAAACTTTAGATGCAAATTCTATATTACAGCGAGAAGACTTCATTGCAACTATCGTCATTACAACGTAGCACTATTAAAACATCACGCTTCAAACTTTATAAACTATTTCATAAAATTTTAACTAATATTCCATACTTTAAAAAAATGCATTCATATTAGAAACCAGAGAAATGTATGTAGAATTACAATTATGGTTTTCTGGGCTGTAACGCCTTGTAGATCTGCACCTAGCTACAAAACATCAAGGAGTCACATCCTGGAAGAACCCAAAGTGTCATATATATTATTATTATTTAGCATATAAAGAAAATCCAGCTTACAATTTTCCATAATACGTCAGTCCATTAGAAAGTTTGAAAACCCGATTAACTGATATTGAAAGCGAAGTATTTGCTTAACTGCTCTTTGTTACCTTTCTGATATGCTTATTCTACTCAATACATTTGCAAAAAATGTATTTGACTTTTGCATATAACGATAAGTGAATACTTGACAGTAACCCGAGGAACTAAACGGTTTAATTAATCTGTAAATATATTGCACTTATATTTGCCTTATTATCAAATATCGTCAGAACTATATTTATTATAATGTTCTTGTTCCTTCAATGCATTCGTGGCAGACTGGATTAATTCTTTACAAGCAAACAAAAACAACAAAACAAACTCCGTTATTTTAGTCGTCAAGCGAACTATACCGACCGAGCGACCGCTGCTTGTCGGCGAAGTTAGTGACAACTTTAGCGGATAGAGGGTGTCGCGTGGTCGGCGCAACGAATCCCAACGGCCGTTAATTTTGGTATACTAGACCGGAGCCACTATTTCCTTGAAATAGCTCCTCAATTATCATCACGAGGCTGTGTGGACCCCGTACCAGACCCACTACTTCTCAGAAAATCTGGTAGCGCCGGGAATCTAACCCGGGACCTCTGGATCTGTAGCCAGGAATTTTGACCACTAGACCACAGATTAATTCTTTACATGGTATGAATAAATTCAATTCTTATAAGATTTGAGGATTTCACGGCGGTGACTATGAAGATAGCAGTCTTCTGGGATTTGGCAGCGTGTATATGTGGTGTTAACCGACGTTTCGGAGGAACGTATCGCAGACTGCTTTTACCGGTTCTCACGGTCTCTTCACTTGTAGATTTCTTATATTTTTTCTTCTACCCTGAAGATGGAGGCGATACGTTCATCCGAAACGTCGGTTAACACCACATATACACGGTGACAAGTCCAAGAAGACTACTTTCTTCAAATTCAATTATTCTTGTTTTCGAAACTGGGTACCTCAACAGTAACGAAAGTTTGACAATGATTTATTTTGGACAATTAATGATATCCTGGTTTACATAAGAAATTAGCATTAAAACTGATAATTAAACTAGAGAACTACATATTCTAGGAGAATCAGGGGCAAATTAATATTCTTGAGCAGCTTGGAGACTAGACATGCGGCCGCCATGTTCATGAAAACATTTACCAAGCTCGTGACATTTTTATATTGCCGAGGACTGCCTACTGTAGTCAAGATGGAGCCAATAAATACCCTCGTAATTACGCTCGTTCGAAACTGACATCCCTGTACACATATTCCGTAATTAATCGTAATGTAATTCTTTTACAAGTTTCGAATGGAGGGGGAATTGCTGATTTTTCAATATAGGACCCCTGTTTCAGCCACGCTCGGAAAGATTGATCATGGAGCTGCTGTTGGTTGATTAATCCGTGCATTCGGCTCTCCACTTCGCCTTTCGTTTTAATTTACTGGGAATTCATTAAAGAACTCAGCATGTCTCTTAATCTGAAGTTATTTTCCGACGGGTGCTGGGCTCTTAGCGTTGTATAGTGTATTTTACAATGTATCACAGTAACTACGGTAGAGAGAATATATTTTTATGTACAATTTGAAAGAGTCTTATCACGTCACGTTTTAAATATAATATTAAACATAATTAGCACCAAATTACAAAAAAAAAATATTATTTTCAAATTTGTTCTATGTACAAAAATAAATAACACATTATCACTGGTTATATAACATACGATGAAATTCAGTATGGAAACAAGCTTAATTTTCCATGACGTAGATCCTCATCTGATAGCTTCCTCAGACAGTATTATATGGCTAATGAAGTGTATACTTCCTCACTTTCAAAGCAACATTTTATTCCATATAATAATCTTGTATGTCTAGTTAGTTATTGGAGAGGGTGGGTTTCCCCATGCACTTAGACCTGTATTGGTCCATTGTGCTTCCCTCTATGATTTCTACCAGTCTCTATACCCTACCGATATTGGTGCTTACCATCAGTCCCAACCGAGCCAGCGAGTTCGGCCTCTACTGGCTTAGCGGTATCTATAATGCTTCCACCATTTATCAGAGGCGTTAGAGACTACTGTTAGGCGGGAAATGTCCTTGAATTTGGCTCAGTGACCTCCTTTGGAGATACGAGGTTCTTTTACGTGCCGTAATGTATCAGTATAGTCAAATTTAAATTGTCTCTATTTTCGATTCTCGAGAACACTTAGTTTAACACGACCATTCCATATGTTACCTGAGTTGTCTACAAAAAAATCGAAGTACGTGTTCTTCAAAATAACATTTTTATAATCTTTAATTTATATACTACAAATTCCAAAAGAAAGTCGAAATGTACATTCATTTTGTTAGAGTAACATTAAAAACAAAGTTTCAATGAATATATTTCCATTAACTCGGTTATTATCACGGAACATAAAATTACTTTCAATTCGACTAGGTTTCCGTGATTTATTTCGAGATTCGTATGCTCAGTGTGAGGTGTGTATTCATCTTTTATTTTAGGGAGGGTTCGGATTATGTCTACGTGATCAATTACAAATTTTTAAGTAACGAATGTATCCACACGGAAGGATTACAGATTTCTACATTATCGGCGTACGATGTATGAAAAGTGTTGCAATTTCTGTCATGTACAGGCTAAACTTGTCCAATTTTAAAATATGTCTTAATTTGTTTTGCGACAAAATAAATTCGCCACAAAATTAAGTACAAATTTCTCAGTGATATTTGAAAAGCATGGAGCCATCTATGGGGGATTTTCAAAACTAATTTATTGTCGAATTTAGACTGCAACAAAAAGGTGGGAACATTTACACTCTTCATTTTTCTGCATAATCTCCAAGCGCCTCATTCTTTCAGATCCATGACAAAAAAAGCTTTCTTTCCACACGATTTCATTACTGTTTACATCCTTAGCTTAATTTATCTATGCTTATTGCGTTACTTTATTAAAGTCTTATGTTACTTGTCATACATTAACATCTACGACATCCAATGTCCATGTCTTAAAATTGTGCAATTATTTACTATGATTTGACGTTTCACAATGTTATTAATTCTCATAATCTGTGTCGAAGGAACTTGGTACTAAGTATTTTATTTGTATTATGTTGGTGCTAGCATACGATGGGGTACCCAAAAGAAACCGAACTAATTTTTTTGTGGGCAGAGCTTTTGTAGTACCGCGTTTTGCCGCTATGAGCGCATAGAGCTAATATTCCTGAGTCGATAAGCCGACTACCGTTGCTTCAGGAGGTAAGGACTAGCTTCGGCAGATTGTATAGTGACAACTGTTTTGTGTGATCGTCGTTTTTGCAATGGCCCGAAAGCATGAAAATGTTGAAAAAAATCGTGAAATCATCAAGGAACATCGACGACGGACCACTGAAGAAATTGTGGAGCTGTCGGGGGTGATTTGGAGCTCAGTTCAGCGAATTTTGACAGAAGATTTGGGAATGAAAAGGGTGGCTGCGAAATTCGTGCCACGACTGCTGACTGCTGAACAAAAACAAGGTCGCGTGGAAGCATGCTGTGCTTTGAAAGAAGAGTCCCGAAATGATCAAAACTTTTTTTCAGCGTTTTGCTGATGTTGCTGAGGTGAAGGAAAAAACGACGGAGGCGCTGTCAAGCATCTCAAAAGATGAATTTAGATAATGTTTTGAAAAATGGAATAAAAAACTAGACAAGTGTAAGTGGAGAGTACTTTGAAGGGGATTGAAGGTTTGTGCTTAAAATTTGAATAAATAAGTTAAAAAAATAAGTTCGATTTCTTTTGGGTACCCCCTCGTAACATTGCATCGGAGCTAATCGACAGATTTCACAAAGAGATCTATCCAATTAATGTAGTATTTCATGGAAAAACATTCGCTTCGTATAAATTAAATCTGAATTCTTCAGTTACCTTTATTATTTTATGAAAAATATTCTATTTATGTAAGATTTGATTTTTTCACGGCGGTGACTATGAAGAATGCCGTCTTCTTGGATGTTGCACCGTGTAGATATTGTGTAAACTGACGTTTTTGAGGAACTTATCGCTTCCATCTTCAGGGAATAAAAATCCGTGAACAAGGAACCAGCGTGAGCAGGTGGTTGCAGCCACGGCTCCACATCCCAGAAGACGTAATCCTTAATATTTTAGGTACTTCACCAATATCACCATTATCATCGACAAGAATAATCTCGGTGAATGAAACAGATTCACTCTCATATTTAGGGCCGTGAATTTTGGCCGCAAGTATACTGCTAGGCGAGACGTAGAAACAGACATATTTATTTAACTCTGATTTCTGGAACCACTTGAAAATATTCACTCGTCAAATACACCTATGCAACCTTTGAACTCAACTCCAAATCAGTATGGCACTCCAAATTATTACAGACACTAGCCACGAACATGTTATTCTGTTGCAGCGATTTAACTTTGATGTCTCTTGGTCTGTAATTCTGTTGTAAACTTTGGTTTGTCCGCCACCTTGGCCTTCTTCTTCTCCACCTTCTGGCTTCTTTCTACGTCCAGGCTTTTTCCGTACTTTCTGACACAGATTCACAGCTTCGAACGGTTTTGTTATGTTTGGGTAGAACGCTTCCAAATTCTCCGTTCCCTAGAAAACCAAGAGTATGTAGTTTAATATTCAATGCTGAATTTCTCGTACAAACAAGCAGGAAAAGATTATTTACTTACTTACTTACTTACTTACTTATGAAGCTAGGCCGCGCCATAGCCCAAGCGGTTAGTCGCTGGCTTCCCATTGCAGCGGCCCGGGTTCGATCCCGGGCCTGGTCAAGTGGGATTTGTGGTGGACAAAGTGGCGCTGGGGCAGGTTTTCTCCGAGTACTTCGGTTTCCCCTGCCAATCATCACTCCACCAATTGCTCCACAATCACCCTCACCTATCATCTGGGGCTGGTACAATAGGACAGAAGTGGCCGCAGTACAAGGGACTTAGTCCCACCCCACTAGCAATAAAAAAAATACTTACGGAGCTGAGCGCTTCTTAAGGAGCCGCCAAGTCTGAAGCTACTCAAGAATTTCCTAGCATTTTATTGAACCCGAAAGTTCATTACCGTGTTCACAAGAGCCCTCCACCGGTCCCTATCCCGAGCCAGATCAACCCAATCCATACCATTCCATCCTATCTCTCTAAGAACAATTTTAATATTGTCCACCCACCTACCCCTTGGTCTTCCCAGTGGTCTCTTTCCTTCTGGCTTTCCCCACCAAAGATTATTGCATGATTTAAATTCACACATTCCGCAGTCATGCGGTGTCAGAGACTTATAACAGAAAACTGAGCCTTGTATCTGGGGAGTCCAGTATTCAAATCTCGGCCTCTTCAGTTTTGTAATTTTTTTTTTTACACAGGCGGTAGGACTCCTTGGACGAGTGATCAGTCCCTCCTAAGGCCGCTACCTACACATAGAACAACACAAACAGAATAAACACACACAGATTTCCATGCCTTGAGTGGGATTCGAACCCACGATCCCAGCGTTCGAGTGAGTGAAGACAGTTCATGCTTTAGACCGCGCGGCCACTGTGATCAGAGACATATGTTAATACCGATATGCACGTGTCCAGGATCCGTTAGGACTCATTTTTATTAATTTTGCTCTGCAATGCCATCTGTTGGCGAGTTGTGGCGTTAATATTCTTGAAGTTTCAGTTGTGGCTGTCTATAATTTCAAAGTGCAAGCATCGCTGCATCATGTGTTCTGACCTTGAATGTAACAGTACTGTTCTGACGCTCGTTGGAAAATGGCGGTTGAACAGAGAGCCAACATCAAATTTTGTTTGAAGTTAGGCAAAACAGTCGGAGAAGCGTACGAAATGATGAAAGGTGTGTACGGTAGTGATTGTTTGAGTCGCTCGAACACATTTCGATGCTATGCTGTATTTCGTGACATTGAAGACGCTCCACGTTCATCAAAGCCGAGAACAATTCACACTGAACAAAATATGAAAAACGTGACCGAAATCCTTTCATCAGACAGATGTGTTTATGCAAGACTCATCGAGGAGCTTCTAGGAATATCAAAAAGTACTGTGCATCAAATTTGGGCAAACGGAAGGTCTGTGAGCGGTTTGTACCGCACGCGCTGTCAGGCGATGAAAAACATGCCAGAGTGGAACACTGCAAAGACATGTTACGGTTGGCCCAAAGTGATACAAAATATGCAAAATCGATTGTTACTGGTGACGAGACATGGTGTTTTCCAAATGAGCTTCTCACAAAGCGGCAGAGTGCAGCGTGGCTGAGCCCAAAGAAGCCGAAACCAAAGAAAGTGCGCATGCAAAAGAGTCGAGTAAAGACACTGCTAACCGTTTTCTTTGATTCCAAAGGAATCATTCACAAGGAATTTCTGCCAGAAGGTCAAACAGTGAATTCTGATTATCATCTTGGAGTCCTAAATCGTTTGTGGGCGAGAATTCTTCTAATTCGACCTGAATATCGAAGGTTCCTGGTCGCTCCTCCTCGACAATGCCCCACAACACAAATATAAGATCATGCCCGATCTTTTTGGCCAGAAAAAGATCACAGTCCTTGATCATCCACCATATTCGCCACATTTGGCTCCAGAAAATTTCTGGTTGGTCCCAAAAGTTAAGTTGGCAATGAAAGCAGACCGTCACGACACCATCCAGGACATCCAAAAGGAATGTACCCCAGTTTTAAATGCGATTCCACAAAAGAAGTACAGTGACCGTTTTCGAAAACTTCTCAGTCGTTTCCAGCTATGTATTGATTCAGAAGGAGACTATTTTGAATAAAAAGAGTGAAATTTTGAAAATAATTCACGTCTTGTATTTTTAATGAACACAGTCCTAACAGAACCTGGACACACTGTGCATATTTCTTCTAATTTGGTCTGTTTCCTTTGCTAATATATCGCGTTATGTGAGCGTAAAGGGGGACACGAGGATTACGTAAACTCGGAACTGGTTGTTGCCCGTAGCCAGACCTAACTTCCGGCTGCAGGAAATGACCCTCTGAGTACGCTACATTATATAAGTTGCTGTAATGGTCCCAAAGCAGCTTCCGAGTTTTGCCAGAAGTCTCTCCAGAACTTCTGGAACAGTGGCTAATCCTGGACTGCAAGTCGGATTACGGGTAAATGCAACCGCATGACCTGGAAATAGTCACAATCCTATTCCGAATTTCTCTGTATTTTATTTTGTCATTTGCGCCGAAGCACAGTTCTGGGATCTTATTCAGTCATGCGGTGGGACTAGAAGCTGGCCTAGCCTGAACTACACGAAGGTATAGAAGCCGTGGAATTTCAGATACAAAATGTAAACACATATAAGGACAATGAAGAATGTCGTCTTCTGGGATATGGAGCCGTATAGACATTGTGTAAACCGACGTTTCGGAGGAACGTATCGCCTTCATATTCAGGGTAGAAGAAAAATACACGGGCGAGGAACTAGCGTGAGCAGACAGAGCCCTGAGAGGATTTTTTCTTCTACCCTGAAGATGGAGGCGATAGGTTCTTCCGAAACGTCGGTTTACACAATATCTACACGGCGTCATAACCAAGAAGACGGCATTCTTCTTAGTCACCACAGTGAAAACATCAAATCTTACATATAAGAAAATTTAAAATATTGCTAGCTCTTGGAAAAATCTAATATTTTGGCTGATGGTTACAAAGCGTTATTAATAAAATTTAAGGTTCTTTCGGCTGCAACGAAACATTGCATTAAGCCGGGTCCAGACTTGTTGCGTATCCCCGTATCGTATCATCCTTCCGTTGGAAAATGATACGCAACGGGCTGTTCGCTCGCTTGGCGGTCTTTTCCCGTCGCATCAAAGGGACGACTCGGGTTGCAGTGGTGCCAGTCTGGACGCGTAGGCGGCTGCATCGCGCTTTGCTTATCAGCTCCAGACAGTTGGAGTGTAGTCATCACCAGTGTGCGTTTGAAGTGTATTGAAGATTGACGTATGAGTCTCCGGTTGCCAAAAATCGCAGTGTTACAGCCAACCTTTCCTGAACAGGAATTGCTTTTCTGAACACGGTATCTTTTTTTAAAAATTTTCGGCCCGATCAAATTTATCAACAACTCAAAATCTGACGGATGCATCCTTGTGAAATTTTTGTACATCCCACTGACTGACTGAAAATTTAAGTCCGCCAAAAGATTGGACCCATTGTATACTTTCCTACTGGCATAGATCGGTGATATCCACAAACGTCGTCATTTTGTTCTTCTTCCCTTTATAGCATAGTGAAGATAGATGTACGCGGCCGCTGCTACCGTCAGGTTGGGTGTAGTCATTGCTGACTGAAATCTGGCTCGAGACTGAGATTCATTTCTTCGTTGCCAAGGAGAAATTTTATCGCGTTGCATCGGTTGATACGCAACGGAGATACGCAACAAGTCTGGACGCAAAATTTTGTCGCGTTGCATCGGACGATACGCAACGGAGATACGATACAGGGATACGCAACAAGTCTGGACCCGGCTTTAGGTTCGCCATGTTGTATCTTTCCGTCTCCGAATGGAACAACAGAAGAAGAGTTGTTCGGATTATGTAGGGATCTGCCACTAGGAAGGTTCACCAAAATTTGTTCACATGCTCCAATTCTGGTTAGAACCGGATTAAACAACGAACATTTAATACGAAGACTGATGCATGTGTTTATGTGTGCTTTCACATCTGTCTGGGCTACAAATATCTGAAACCATCTTCATAGGGAACAATTAAACACATGGTATATTCTGAGTACACATTTTTCTAAGTAATACGGGTTTCGAGATAACAAAACAAAGTTGACTTTATGCTGCGCCACTTCGCAACTAGGGAAATATTGGACTTATTTCTTCCCCGCCCTTATGCCACGCCGGTTTTGCGCTCTTTACAACATAACAGCCACAAACTGAACATCCAGAGAAAATAACAGAGCAATCGAGCCGTAAATGGTATGCTATGCGTACATTTCTTGTTTATATTCCTCCTGTTTCACTGTCCTGCGCACAAAAGCTTTCGCCAATATCCTACAGAGAAGACACTTTGATTACAATGTGTGGATAATATATTCAGATTAAATTCCTCACACTAGAGTACACGGGGTAAACCCGGAGCAGATAATGTGGCGCGGGCTTAGATTTCACATGACGCAGATTATCAATGCGCGCGCAGATAGCGCAGTAGAAAAGAGTCCTCTGTGATGACGCTTCTCTGTTTTTGTTTACAAACAGATATTCTAGCGAAAGAAAACAACATTTACCTTTAAAAATACATTGAGATAAGTGTTTATATTTTACACAATGTTTGGTTAGGTTTTAATTTTGAAAATAATGACGATATTCCATAACATATTACAACAAACGTTGAATGCAGGTTAGGTTTACACCCGTTGTGGTCAGGCATGTTGGGCGATAGCAGTGTCATGCGTTTTCTGTCCCATGTTTTCGTTACAGAAGACGCACCGTAGGAAGGTGTTAAGGCAGTTACCCGATTAAATTTACATGAGGTCAAGATGCCGCAGCCTAAACATATTAAAAGGAATATTATATTTAAGCATCCTGTTACACTCTACACAATGTATGACACAAACTCCGTCCTAAGTGCAACAATTTTTTGCAGTTATTTTGTCCTCTTTTCTTCTACACTACATGTTTCGACCGTAAATGGCCATCATCAGGTGTATTTCTCTCACGTAGCTGTTACACTGCATGTAGTTTAAAATTTAAAAACACCAGCTTTCTTAATTGTTCATTTTTCATATATATATCAGCAAGGGGATTCTGCGCTTAACTGATTAAACACTACGCCATGAAGGCGTATGGGGAGTGGATGTATAGAGCCACATTTTCTTGATCTCGGCACTAGTTGGAGGTGAATGGTCAGCTTCACGCCCCGGCCGCTTTACCCTTGAGAAAAGAGCCCCCGGTACCCATTGGATATGATGTTGGGTGGACGTCACGGTGAAGTGAAAATTCTTGCCTCACCGGAACTCGAACCCCGACATCTCTGTCCTCCAACCCGTAGCCAGTCGCTACACGACCTGGCAGGTCAACCAAAGAGTATTAAACAATCTCCGTGGTTTGTAGTCCGCAAGCGAACTATACCGACCGAGCGACAGCAGCTTGTCTGCGAAGTTAGTGCCAAATTTAGCGGATAGAGGGTGTCACGTGGTCAGGGAAACGAATCCCCACGGCCGTTAATCTCGGTTTTCTAGACCGGAGCCGCTATTTCCTCGAAATAGCTCCTTAATTGTCCTTACGAGGCTGAGTGGACCCCGTTCCAGACCCATTACTTCTCAGAAAATATGGTAGCGCCGATAATCGAACCCGGACCTCTGGAACTGTAGCCAGGAACTCTGACCACTAGACCACAGAGGCGGTGTACCAAAGAGTATTAGAAAGATAAAATGATGGGGAATGAGATGGGAGGTCATACGGCAGAGTTTGGGGACATGGCAAATCCATACCGCACGATGTCAGGCGCAGCTGGGAGGGTACCAGGTTTCAGAGGATCAGACTGGATTTTTATGACTCAGAATAGGGGGTCAGTAGCGGACGCTTGTAAACGCAGGCCCCATAAGAGGCAGGCAATTTCTTAACTACCTGAGGGAATATTAACTTCTGAACAAGGACTTTGTTCCATGAAGCCAGTGCGCATGCTCCGTACGGTTTCTTTGTGCCACGCAAGTAAGATTCCACCTAGAAAAGCGACAAGATTCTTACAGAACAAAGCAGTCTTCTGGGATTTGGCACTCTGTATATGTGGTGTTAACCTACGTTTCGGAGGAACGTATCGCCTCCATCTTCAGGGTAGAAGAAAAAAAATAAGAAATCCGCAAGCGAAGAGACCGTGAGAACCGGTAAAAGCAGCCATAACTGAGCAACATACATCGTATCAATACCTGGAAATAAGAGCTTGAATATGAATGCTGAATAAACAGGTTCACTTCCTATCGTAGCTACAGGAACATTTCCTAAATAATGAGTAATTACAGGAGACAAGAGAAATTGCCCTAATATTCTGAGATCGATATGTAAACCGGAGTAACATGTAATTACTTTGAGGACCAATTTATGGCTTTCGTATTGTCCTTAGTATAAACAGTAATTACGTCCTTTAACAGCATTGATCGGTTGATATTTGTAATGCAGATGTAGTGTATACTTTGTGCCGTGGGAACGTCAATTAGACGGCTTTCATGTCTCGGTGGGTTGAGCTGCTGCTCTGTGAAGAACATGGCGGAGTTGAGTTAGCAGTGGGAGAACGTTTCTTCTTATTTCATGATCATATCTCTCAATTACATATTTATTGAACATCGGCTGGATGCGTCTCAAAATAAATTGGTGATGTAAGCAGTAACGACCTATTTTATTGGATGATTCAAGTATTACCTGGAGTGTTTGAAGAATACTGTTAAAAACCTCGTCAGAAAAAGCGGTTTATGAAGCGGGAATCGAAGCCAAGTTCTCATACAATGAAGCAAGAGTGAAAATAGCTTCCACGTTGGAAGAAATTTATTGGTTTTAATTACTATTTATTTGTTGTGAAATTTTAGAATTTTATGAAACTCAAATTTTTATTATCGTTTCGACACTAGCCCGTCACTGGTCCTAACATGGTCCAGATTAATCCAATCCATGGTTTATTTCTTGGAACCTGTAAACTTCGCCTGATTTGCTGAAAACTCGACATTTAACGTGTTTTCTTGGAGGTGTTACCCATAATATGTAACGGTATTCGGAAACAGCTTAGGAAATGTACCCAAAGTATGTGTATCCTGCAGCTTTTGCTATGTTACTTTCTCAACATAACCTAAATGGTTCTTACGACGCTGTCAATAGCTAAACTATAGGCCCATGAGGCGCCGAAAACATGAGCGACGGATGAATGACGAATTAGCATTTTAAAAGAACCAAAACGAAGTGTGATCGAAGTACCATATCGGCATATGTCTGAAGGACTGAGGAAAACAAAGTAAAACATGTAAGGAGAGTTGGTACCCTGGCCGAGATTCGAGAGGAACCCTCAGAATGCGAGACCACAGATTTACCCTTGCCCCAGCCCTGGTGTCCAGGTTTTCAGTCAATTAATGTTGACATCTGATCCCCTTACGCGTATCCTACTGCAGGCGGGGGCGGGGGGAGGGGTTGTTCTATTTCACTTTGAAAATAATATAGAAAAGGAGAATATAACTGTGTTTCTTTTATTAAACTTTATGCGATTATAACAGAATAAACCATAAAAGGTAAGGAAGAAAGAGTAAAGTTGTCCCTGCGCTTATTCAGTTAAGCACTATGCCATGGCGGCGTGGAGGTACCGCCCCACACAATTCTTGACCTCGCCGCTAGATGAAGGTGAGTGGTGAGCTCCCCGGTACCCATAATTTTGATTAATTATCTTTAAAACCCTAAGACATGAGAGAACCATGCGTTGGAACGGAATTGTTTTTAATTTTTCTTTATAAGGTTTATTTTTGGGGCACGCGGTAACGTAGTTGGTTGAGGCATTATGTTACAAGCCAGAAGGTCGCGGGTTTAAGTCCCAATGAGGTCATTGGATTCTTTCAATTGACCTAAACCTTCCAGCCGCACTATGGCCTTGGGGTCGACTCAGACTCTAACAGAAATGAGTACCGGGAATCTTCCTGGCGGTAAAGGGCGGCCGGCGCGTAGTGCTGACAACCTTAACGCCATCTTTGAGGCGATTGTCTAGAAAATGTGGGAACCTCAACGTCTCACAGCCCTATGAGCCTCCACGGCCTGTTACAGGGATACCTTTATTATACTTTCTATAAATTTTGTTCGAATCATATTTCATTCTGACAGATATTTAGAAACTTGTAGTCGAGTTACATGTACAAAGGAGCACAGATTTTAATGCGAATTTTCGTCGTTGTTTTCGATTTTAACCAAATTTGGAACTTACCCGCAACTTTCAGTAAAGTTCTCCAGCTTCAAATCCTACGATAATCCCACCAGCTGTTCTCTAACTTCTCCTTGCGGTTATGCAAACATAAAGACATTCTGAATCCAATAGACGTACTGTTGCAAATGCTCCAAAAGTGTAATCATTTCGTGGTCACAGACAAGCAAACAAATTTTCTTACCGGTAAGAGTGTAGGCTTCTTCATCCAGCAGAGAGGCTTGAAGCTGCCTTTGCGCGTTGCTTCCTGAAAACTCCTGAAGTGGTTCTCCCAGTCATACGTAACGAGACGGCTTTCCAGGGTCATGTCTGCCAGCTCGGGTGGAGACTTGATCGTCACAGGGCTGGAATCCCTGAGATCATAAATATCACATTAACTAACTTCATACATTAGAGTCCCTTAAAGGTGACAGCTGCTCACGTGGACAGGAAGTTTCCTGTCCCCTGGCAGATAGCTAATGTATAGTGATTCAGATGAATCCATGTAAGAACTGAGGTTTTCACGGCAGTGACTATGAAGAAAGCAGGCTTCTGGGATGTGACGCCGTGTAGATATTGTGTTAACCGGCGTTTCGGAGGAACGTATCGCCTCCATCTTCAGGGTATAAAAATCCGTCAGCGATGAACCAGCGTCTGTAGATACCTGCTCACGCTGGTTCTTCCCTCGCGTATTTTTATACCCTGAAGATGAAGGCGATATATTCCTCCGAAACGTCGGTTAACACAATATCTACACTACGCCACATCCCAGAAGATGGCTTTCTTCAGATGAATCCAGTTATGTTCTGTTTCGATCTTTTAGTAGCCGTGTTTTTTCTTAAGCGTAATTGTTAAACGTAACTATTAGCGTAAAATATATGTAAAATCCAATGGAAGTATCTTATCAATGTCGTATCTTTATCTTCTTCTATCTTTTCTCCAGCATTTCATTCAATTTCTGCTTCCTATCGTCAACATTCTGCCTCTTGCTTTCTTTCTTTGCTTTATGTTAAAACAGATTCGTCATCCGCTTTGAATTATTTCCCCCCAAACGTTTTCTCTCTTTCTCCCTTTCCTTCCGCATTCCTCTCTTTGCCTTTTCACTTTTCTGTCCCACTGCTACCGCCATCTTTACGTGAGAACACTTCAGGTTAGTCTTGCTACCGTTTGACAAGTAAGCCTGGCCACCTGTCGCATCTTATCACGGAGCTAAATGAACTGTGACAGAAATAGCGTATTACATCTAGACTGTAACACTAGGAGCAGCAGCGTCGTGTCCACAAACTTCTCTCCCTAGGATCTATCAGAAGTTTATTCTCCAATTTTCGGTCTGAATTTTAACCGAACGATATCAAAGAAGTTAATAAAGAAGTTGGATATCAAAGACGTTTCTACATCAGAGTTTGGAGTGCATTTATTTTCTCCTGAGTTCGTGCTCAGTCCACAGCAACGAATCGATTTTTATTCCACAATTATTTGAAGACTTTTACAAATTACAAGTATTATTCTTATTTGAAGAAAGCAGTCTTCTGGGATTTGGCACCGTGTATATGTGGTGTTAACCGACGTTTCGGAGGAACGTATCGCCTCCATCTTCAGGGTAGAAGAAAAAATATAAGAAATCTGCAAGCGAAGAGACCGTGAGAACCGGTAAAAGCAGACTNTTATTTGTTGATTTCATATATTTGCGGTTTCATTAATGACGTCAGAGGAGAAACTGTTGAATGAAGGGCCATTAGCAAACAAAATTGGAAATGATATGGATTAGGCACTCGTCGCCTGCCTTAGGCACGCCTACTGCCCCTACATTCTCCTGAGGAGGATCAGGAAGACCACGTCCGGTGTGGAGGAGAAGTCGAATACCTCCACCAGAGTCCTGCGGGTCGTAAGAGGCGAACCCAGGGAACCCAGTTCCTGGGGTATAAATACGGGGACCTGGCCCTCCAGGTTGGGGGGTCTCGAATTTGAGACAGTAAAATGTGGTCATAAATACCACGGGACTCAGACCTAAGAGTGACTGTGCTGGCGAGAACCAACAGTATTTGTACATGACAGACCCATCCTCTCATCAGACAGGATGTTACATAAGGACTACAACCGCAAGCATTCAGTTAGAAAATGAAATTAATGGTCATGAGTCTCAAGGGGCTTGTCGCCAAGACGAACTGATTGGCGGTAAACCTCCAGTTGTAAAGCAACTCTTACTTTGACTCTGACTATGACTGTAAAACCATGAAAAAACCTGTCAGGGTATTCGATCACCGGATATAAATGCGGAAAAACCTGCCTCCAGAACATGACGCAACACACATACCCTTGCAACAGCGAGAACTTGCATTTATTGTTATCATTATTAATATTGGGGGCACGTGGTAGCGTATTTGATTGAGGCATTAAGGTACAAGCCGGAAAGTCACGGGTTCAAGTCTCGATGCGGTCATTGGATGTTTTTCAATTGACTTAATACTTCCAGTCCGACATCAGAGAGAACACTTTCAGCAACAAGTCACAGACTGTACGTATTACGGAGATAGTCTCTGAGGGGGGGGGGGGACACAGAGCTTCCCTTTGAAACATGAAATTCATCTCAATAAAATTTAAAATTTCCGTCCGTACTTCACAGAAAACACACTGCTACAAAGTGCAACTAGTTAAAGATGTTTAGGGAAATAATCAATTATTTATGTCGAGAATTATTAGAAACGCATAAATACATTATCCGTTCAAATTTATTTTTCCACAATATTCATTCAGACCGCCCCCATAAATAGGACTGGGGTTTAAAGTGCTAATTACAGCAATTCTGCCGAATATACCACATCGGTGTCAGCATTTAAGAGTCATCACGGTTGAAACTTGACAGCTCATTCACCAAAAAATATTTTTACTACCTTTCGGACAAAAAAAAACTGCACAGTTTCGTGAGGGCAGAATTCAGTTGCTCATAACAGAACTTCTGACACTGTGAACACACGAATTTGGAGTGTACCATTAAATACTCTGCTAATTCTGTTCAAGAAAACAGTTAATACTGCAGTGTTGGAACTCCTGGGCTGCTATATTACGCTGCTGACATCTCGTGTCTACAAACGGAATGACACCTTTATGGTACATGAACACAGTCCACACATTAAATAGGGCAACAGTGAGAACTTGTCACCGTCCCTAATAGCTTGTTTTGTTAGCCACAGCAGCGGTAATAAGGGAGGGTAGACCAAGCTTATTTGTCCTGTGTTGTATCTCAATGTTTCACACAGATATGCTTATGAAGGCAATTAAGGATCACGGTATCGTGGCGTCCCTAACGCTTACACAATTGCACGCTTAACCCTTTAATGCACAGTGCTAAATGTATGTGTCATCGGCTTTAACATTAAGAATAAATACTTTTTTGTCCACGTGCTTAGATTCTCAGAATAAAGAGTTATTATATGCCTAAAAACAAACAAAATCCGTGACCTGTACCGACCGAGCGATCGCCGCTTGTCGGAGACGTTAGTACCATCTATTGCGGATAGAGAGTGTCACGTGGTCAGCGCAACGGTTCCACACGGCCGTGAATCTCAATTTTCTAGACTGGAGCCGCTATTTCCTTGAAATAGGTCCTCAATAATTCTCACGAGGCTGAGTGGACCCAGTTCCAGACCTACTACTTCTCAGAAAACCTGGTAGCGCCGGAAATCGAACCCGGGACCTCTGGATCTATATCCAGGAACTCTGACCACTAGACCAAAGAGAATATTAGTAAATAACTGGTCTTTGTAATGGAAGCACAGTGTTTTCTGTGTGGTGGGATCTGTATATATTTGGACAGAATTCATACTTCATTGGAATAACTGCTCTCTATCTTCAGGGTAGAAGACTCGACATTAGTCTGTCAGCACCTGCTCACGCTGGTTCCTCGCTCGCGGATTTTCTTTCTTCTTCTACCCTGAAAATGGAGGCTGTACGTTCCTCCGATACGTCGGTTAACACAATATCTACACGGCGCCACATCCCAGAAAACGACCCGCCGTGAAATCCTCATGTCTTACATAAGTTTCTTTTTGTTTCAAGCAAACAGTTACAATATTTTTCAGTCTTTACAGAACGAATTATTAGCATGAAACTCTCGGAAAAAGTAATCGCCTGTTTTCCATTGATATGGCATGGACCGCGCAGAGCACGACGCGTCCAACAGTTCTTCTATTGATGCATGTGTGTTCGTTGCCATGGTAATGTTTTAACGAGCCGTTGCCTAGCAACAATAGGAGGATACACAGGCAGACATACAGGCTGATGGGACGGATTTATGGAGCACGCAAATGAGAGGGTCTCAGGTGTCTTGATACATGTACAAAGTTTCATAAAGGTTGGTTGGGGGGGGGGATAAAACCCAAGGACACAAAGAGCATCGTCATCGTATAAGCCCAGTTTTATTTATCAAAATAAAGAACGTAGGCTAAAATCATATTAAATTACGTTAGAGATAGACTGGCTTATTCAAAATTGCGTAAACGAGGAATGTATTTAGTCTTTATCTTTCCAAAATAAGGAAAACACAATAATTTGTTCTGCAATAAGTTGAATTTAAACCTAAAATTGAAGTTAATTAAACAGTTGTAGTGCCATATTGTACACTGCTCTCAGTGCCTGGTATAAGAACGTGCGCAAGTTCGATTTCTGGAATTACCGCTTTCCTATAATTAATAACAGAATTGTAGAACGCAACAGAACAATGGGGACATGACTGGCGTGCATGCAGCATGTGTGGAATAGAGACAAATTTTACACAACATTCTAGACGAAGGAACTAAACGAAAGAGACTAATTCAAAGACTTTTGGCCGTGCCATAGTAGCTGGTTTCCCACCGCGGCGGCCTGTGTTCGATCCCGGGTCTGGTCAAGTGGGATTTGTGGTGGACAAAGTGGCGCTGGGGAAGGTTTTCTCCGAGTACTTCGGTTTCCCCTGCCAATCTTCATTCCACCAATTGCTTCACAATCACCCTCACCTATCATCTGGGGCTGGTACAATAGGCCAGAAGTGTCCGCAGTACAAGGGACTTAGTCCCACCCCACTAGCAGTAAAAAAAATTCGAAGAATTAGGCGTAGTATTGTGACATGACGCCAATAAGCCAAAATAACAGAGTTAGACGCTTATTGCTAGGCAACGACTCGGTAAACACATTCCCGAGGCAACGAGTGCGTAAGCAACAATCGAATAACTTCGGTTGCTATACAACGGCGCTGCAAACACGCCTTTCCAACAGTACAGAGGCTATGTTTTCTTTAGGGTCCGTGGAAAGTGATTATAAAGAAGATTTCCTAAGCTGGCAGGAGCAGTGTAGAACAGAATCGAGTTTCGCGACACCAGCCTCTCAGGAAATGACCTTG